TAATATAATATAATATAATATAATATAATATAATATAATATAATATATATATATATATATATATATATATATATATATATATATATCACGGTTTCTCATTTATTACGGAGGTGTGTGGAAAATAACCCCCACAATAATCGAGGGACTACTGTAATGCAAAACAAATGGTGCATTTGTTATAGAACAGCTTTTGCTATGAAATTGTAGATATTGGAGTTGTTCTAAAAGAAAATTCCATTTTGGTCTTAGCTGTGTTTTGCCGAGCTCCAAAATAAGTTTGTTCAAAAAGCTATCTACAGTAGATAAACTATTTAAATGAATATTTAAATGTTCATAAATCTTTTTACAGAAACCCTGTTTAAAATATCTGATATATCGTTTTACAAATGGGGCAGCTGTGGCTGAGTGGTTAGAGCAGTCGTTCTCCAATGTGAGAGTTTGGGGTTTGAATCCACCAGCAGTCACATGCTGAAGTGTACCTGGGCAAGACACTGAACCCCCTAATAGCCTCTGATGTGTGTCCCATCAGTGTATTAATGTGTTCTAAAGCACTGATTAGTCTCATTAGAATGATTTAGTTCAATTAGCTTTGTAGAGATCTAGTAGAGTGCTGTATGAATGGGTAAATGAGGCACAGATTGTAAAGAGATTTGAGTATCTTGAAATAAGATAGAAAGGCGCTATATAAGTACAGTCCATTACCATTTACAGATATACATTACCTGCTACATTATGTTTATTCTTAGGTGAAACCATTTTAAAATAAATAATAATTAAACAATAATAATAATAAAAATGTGTTTGAGACAAAAACTGGCACCTTGTCCACATTTGTCACAAATGACAATCTCATTGGGTTCTTCTGAAGTTTCATCCTGGCATATGGAGCACACAATGTCATCGTCATCATCATCCTGATCATCTTCATCACCTGAAACAAGCAGACGCGGTCAGAAACAACTAACCTGCAAAAAAGTCAGTGGAAAAAATAAGCACCCCCCCAACAACGAGAACATCTTTAGAGACTCCAATTTAAAGCAGCACTAAAAACTTTACAATAAATGTTAAATTAACTTGTGCAACAAAAGATACGTTCTAGTAAATTACATTCTGTAAGTTCCACAAAACGTCCAACAAGTTTTGTAACAAAAGGTTTGTTTCGTTTTTGCTTCATCTTGTGTCACCATTAACCTTTTATTGCGTCCTAGATTAATAAATGGAAGGAAATGGTAAACGGCATCAAACAGAAAAAGATTTGGGAGAATCTTAAGGTAAGATAATTGTGTTCTTTCTCTGTATTTTGACTTCTGTTGTGACTTGGTGCTATATAAACTGAATTGAATTGTATTGTATTTTGATATTTTTAATGTGGTTGTTCTCACCATCTAGTGGCGTGAGATGGGAAATACAGTCACAACAAAAACAACATCCAGGTAGAAAAATCCAACAAAGTTAAGCCAAGTCCTCTGGATGGTTTCTTTGTGAAGGTGCTATTTATAAGACTGAGTTTGTTGCGGCTCCTCGGACTGATGAAGTCATTTGGATGAAAAACAAAACGTTCCAACAAAATAAATACATAAATAAATAAAGGTTCGTAAGCTCAATCATCCAGGTAGAAAAATACAAAAAAGGTTCAATCAAGTCATCTGGAAACCTTCCAGCGGACCTCACTTAATAGACAATTTACCAATTTTTTTTTCTTCTTTGGTTGTGCTCTTCTGCAGGGGTCGCCACAACAAACAAACTCACATGAAATATTGTGAATTTGTTTTGTGCCCACTGCCCAATGTCCTTCCTGACACAAGCTGGGTGCGAACAAGCAGCCTCAGGATTATGAGGCTGCAGCACTGACCCTCCAACTACCACAGCCAACCCCCAAATTGGGTAGCTAAATATTATGAATTTACTAAGAATACACCAAGACAATGTATAATGCCCAAAGACATTCACAATAATAATAATAGGAGCAAATCAAACTACTTTTTTCACATTTCAGTAACATTTTTATATAATTAAAAAGTCATGCCAACATTTAATCAACAGACATTCTAGTCACATTTTAAAGTCACTCATGGATGAAGAAGTGAACACAACCCCTGTTGTTGTTTTTTTTTTTAATCTTGCTAATCTCCACATGTAGACACAGATACAGTGAACCGTTAACTGCCACTAACAAATCATCTCAGGTTTGTGTAAAACAAACAAGAATTTTTATAAAATTACAATTTAACAGTACAATACTTAAACTGTATGCCCTGCACCGCATTGTTATTGTTGTAAATATCGCTAATTATCTACAACGGCAAAGAATAGTGGTTACACACAACTAAATCATTAATGTAGTGAACTAGGCCTGGGGTCAAACCCTGACCTTAGGACCTTATGGGACAGAACTGTCATTTCATTGATTTGAATCCAGAAATACAGGTTGACCCATCCTGAGACTTTCTTTAATCAAGTGAAAGAACACTCTCTTTTCTATTATCATTACTATTTTACAAATGTTTGATAATCAAAGTGTTTTTAGTTCAAACCATTTTAGATGTTGCAGTGAACTAATCATTTTTAATTAACTGTGAAACAGTAATAATGATTTTAATCCTCATGCAAAGTATAAATCATGTTAAGGTCTGTTACAGAGTAATTATGCATTTTCTGATTTTCTGTCTTTGAATGAGCAGTGTAAGTTGGTCCAAGGTTGGAGTCAAACGCAAACAAGTTGTTGGAACGAACTGTCTTGTTTTTAAATCCTCTCAGACGTAAATAGAGAAGCTGGCACCTGTTTTCCGCCAACTCGTCTAAATATTCCTCTCGTCTGTCTGAAAAACATTTTCAATCTGTTCCATAACATTCTTGCTGTTTTTCTAACTCCTAGTGACCTCTTGCGTCACAAAAACACACCTCTGTTTTGGTCCATCGACCAATCAGAAACTCCCAAATGAACCGGAATAAGAGCCCTTTAAATGTCAGTACTTCCTAGTTCGCTTCAGGCTCCGGCTTCACCAGTCGCTTCAGGCTCCGGCTTCAGTCGTTGCAACTCCAGTGCTGGGAAACAGGAAAATCCTGACATGACCACAGAGCTCTTCCGAGTCTTATGGGATTATGACATCTTCCACCTCTGAGTGGAACTCTGACGGACTCCACTCATGTGAAGTCCACTCGTGAGGTGAACTTGTGTCGAACAAGTACCGTCACTACTTCGGACGATTCACAGCTGTTCCTACGGAGACGCTGAAAGGGTGCGTTAAATGGAACTTCGTACCAGGGAGACATCTCCAGGTAAAAGAGATTTATACCACCTAAGTGTAACGGGGAAGAAGCTGAGAAAAACCCGGAGAGTGCCGTTCTGGTGCCGACACAAACAAACTCCCTCACCCATCTTTTTCTCCCTCTAAACTTCATCTTTCCATCTTTAAACTCTCCTATCTGCTAGAAATCATTCCAGATATTTTAGAAATGTCTGTGTAAAGTTTTCAACCATCGCCGTATGGTTAATCAAAATTGTACAGCTTGCTAAATTAAGCCATGTTGTTATTTTTCATATTTTGCCAAATTAATGTAAATGTGTGATGTGTTAAACTTTGATTCTGTTAATAAATGACCCACTGTCGTTGGTGAGTCAAAGATAATTAACGTTTCCGTCCACATTTTATTAAATTCAATGCACATTATATACAGTCCAGAAAAATGAAAGAATCCGTTTAATTTATGAATATATCTCATGCATATGTTCTTCTACATTAATATGCCAAAAACATTAGAACTTACCAGTCTGAATATCCTTCCAAAGAACCCACGACTTTGATCGATCTTCAAAAACAACAAAGCACCGTTGCCTTTCATAATCTATCTGAATAACAAAACAAACACGAAGCATTATTTCTCAAAGATAAACATAGAGTCTATAAAAATTGTTCCAACTCCTTGGATGTCTTACACGTTTATTGCTGTCATAAATCCAACATGGTCAAGAAAAACTGGCCTTTCTGACAAAGCTAGTTCAAAAACCTTTGTTAAAATTAAGTCAAATTCCTACAAAGAAATAAAAACATAAGTGACAGCATAAATTCCCACCCTTTAAAGTGACTGTTTTAATTCAACTGATTACTGAAAAGTGCAAGATTAAAAAAAAAGGGTTTTAAAAGCCCAAAACATTCCCAGGAGTTCTGTTATATCAATCATCAAGAAATAAGAGGAATATGGGAGACGTGTAAATCTACCAAGAACTGGCCGTCCCCACAAACTGTGACTGTTAAACGTGGAGAAAAGTAGGAGAAGCCTCCCTCCAAGACAGATGACACACTCTGAAGGAGTTACAAGCTTCAGCAGGTGAGATGGGAGAGACCATGCCAACAACAACCATTACTGTTCACCCGTCTGAGTTTTATGGCAGAGTGGCAACAAGAAATCCATTATTGAAGAAAACTCAGATTAAATTTGACTAGTGTGCCAAAAGACATGTGGAAGACTCTAATCCATCCAGAGATGGATTGACAAACACTGATGTTAGATGTTATTTTATTAAATGTTTTGTCCAAAAGGCCAATTTATAGACCATTTTCACAAACATGTAAGCGTGCACACACCCATTATGAAATCAAACATATCCAGATAATGTAAGAAGGTTGAAGACTAAGATCATTCAAATGAAGAAGAAGCTGTTGCACGCAACAAATTTGCTGGCACCAACCTTTGTGATTGTTCCTAGGTAGAACAGGCCATCAGACCACCTAGCCAACACGTCCTGTCCTTCTGTAAACCTGGTCGCCATGTCATCTTCTTCATACTCCTCCCTTGCAGAGTGTCTGCTGGGGGACAAGGACACAGCTTGCTGCTGCTGCTCAGGGTGAGCTCTGTGATGGAGAGATGGGTGATCCACAACCCCGGAGTCTCTGAAAAATTAGCAAGAAACAAAACGACATTCAGTTACAGAATAAAGAAACCAAATTTACAATACCAGGTTATATTCACATAATTTGGTGTATGCAGGTGTTACAGGGGTTTATTTTTCTGTTTCTACAACTGAAAATATATGCACAAGAAACTTTTTCTTTATGACTGAAAACAGTGAAACTAAAAGACCAAGGACTGCCCCATCTATACAGTCTACCTACTTTTTTAATGCATCAATAGATCTAGACTTTCTTTTATAAACGTATAATATTTTTAGCTTCTCTCCGTTGGATCCCTGTCAAGTCCAGAATTGAATTCAAAATCTTATCTCTAACCTACAAAGCTCTTAACAACCTAGATCCATCTTCTATTTGAGATCTTATTGTTCTATATTTTCCTAACAGAGCACTTCACTCTCAGACTGCAGGTTATCTCGTGGTCCCTAGAGTTTCCAAAAGCAGAATGGGAGGAAGATCTTTCAGTTATCAGGCTCCTCTCTTGTGGAACCAACTTCCAGTTTCTGTCCATGAGACTGACACATTGTCCAGTTTTAAGACTGGGCTCAAGACTTTCCTTTTTGATAGATCCTATAGTTAGGGTTGGCTTGTTATGCTGCTATAGGCTTAGACTACTGGAGGAAAAATTGACCTAATTTTCTTAAATGAATTGTTAAAATTGATTTGTTTTCATTTGATACTATTTCTATCTTAACATGTGATTCTTGACCTGCCATTGTGTATCTGTTCCTACCAAACCCAGCCAGTTGAAGCAGATGAACGCTTGTCCAGAGCCTGGTTCTGCTAAAGGTTTCTTCCTCATGAGGGAGTTTTTCCTGTTTCCACTGTCGCCTTCATGCTTGCTCAAGATGAGAGTTCTGCGATGGAGTTAAATTCAAAGCAGTCTGCTCTTCAGATAAATAATACTAAATTATTATTTTTAAATATGAATGTTTCTGTCCAGTGCCCTGAGACGACTTCTGTTGAGACTTGGTGCTATTGAATTAAATTAAACAGGCTTTTAGCTACATGTTGGATAAATGAGGTAAATAAACTGTTAACAGGTCTTGATCCTAAAAAATCTGCAGGATCAGATGAACTTCCATCTTATTTCCTAAGGCTGGCTGCTCATATTATCACAGTCCTTGTGACCCACATCTTCAATCTCTCCATAAGCAAAAACTCCATCCCAGATGCTTGGAAAACAGCCTTTGTTCTTCCTTTGCTGAAGGGAGGTGACCCCACCTCACTGAACAACTATCGACCAATCTCTAAACTCTGCATTTTAGCCAAGGTTCTAGAAAAACTGATAAACTCTCAAATCAAAAATTACCTGGACTCATTTAACATCTTACCTCCACGTCAATCTGGTTTCAGGAAACAACACAGTACGACTGCTTTGCCGAAGGTTCTTAATGATGTTGTTGAAGCACTGGATGCTAAGGATTATTGTGCTGCACTTTTCTTAGACCCGTCTAAAACTTTTGACACTGTGGATCATAACATCTTGTGTCATAAACTCTCAGAAATCGGTTTCTCAGATCACACCATTAGTTGGTTCTCTAACCATCTCTCAGACTGGAGGCAATGTGTTCAACATAATGGTACTTCCTCCAGTTATTTAACAGTCAACAATGATGTACCACAAGGCTCAGTCTTAGGACCCACCCTCTTTACAATCTACATAGGTAATGTTGGTAAAAACATCCCTGATGCATCCTTACATTTCTATGCTGATGACACAGTTGTTTGTTGTCGAGCTAAAACAGTTGCTAAGGCTTTCCAGCTTTTGCAATCTGCATTTGACATCATCCAGTCTGATTCGTTCCGCCTCAAACTTGTCCTAAATGCCAACATAACCAAAGGGATGCTTTTTTCAAACAGGAAGTCGGTCCCAGCAGTTCTTTCTCTGATTTTATCCTCAAATGGTGTCCCCATTGAGTTTGTTCCATCCATCCATTATCTTTAACCCGCTTCTTCCATTTTGGGTCACGGGGGTCGCCAGTGCCCATGTCCGGCAATCACTGTGCAAGGTACACCCTGGACAGGTCTCCAGTCCATCACAGGGTCACATAGAGACAAACAACCAATCATTCACTCTCTCACTCACACCTAGGAACAATTTAGAGTTACCACTCAGCCTAACATGCATGTTTTTGCTCTGTGGGAGGAAACCGGAGTACCCGGAGGAAACCCACACACGCACGGAAAGAGCATGCAAACTCCACCCAGAAAAGCCCCCGGACCGGGATTTGAAGAGTTTGTTGATTCCTATAAATATTTGGGTATCTTGGTCGACTCGCATCTCACTTTTAAGCTCCATGTGGAAAACTTGGTAAAGAAACTGAAAGTTAAACTGGGTTTCTTTTTCAGAAACAAATCCTGTCTAACCCTGAATGCTAGAAAACGCCTTGTATCTGTGACTTTCCTTCCCTCCATTGATTACAGTGACATTATTTACATGAACGCTCCTACAAGCACCCTACAGATGTTGGATGCTGTCTATCATGATGCACTAAGATTCATAACTGGCCGTGATTATCGTACCCACCCCTGCACCCTGTATTCACTGGTTAACTGGACATCATTAACTTCACGCAGACTCTCTCACTGGTACATTTTCATCTTTAAATCACTTCTTGGTCTGCTGCCTTCATACAACTCCTCCTACATGTCTCTGCATGAGTGCAGCTACAGCATGTGCTCTCAGGACATTATTACCTGCAGTGTTCCCTCAATGAGGACTGAACTTGGCAAATGGGCCTTCTCCTACTCCGCTCCTGTTTCCTGGAAAATCTTACCAAAAGACCTGAAGCTCTCGACCTTGACCTCTCTAATAAGTGGCTTTAAGAACCTGTTGGACTCCTGGCAAGGACCAATGCAGACATGTTCCTGTTTTTAGTTTTCTACATTCGCCTTATAATCTAGCTGTTTTTGTTACTATTTTTGCCATCTTATTTGTAAAAAACTAATAATAATCTATGTCTTTTTATAACTGTCTATTGTTGTCGCTGTTGTCCATTGTTGTCATCATTCTTTGTTGAAATCAGGTCTCTCTTGTAAATGAGTCCTCGAGGCTCAATGGGATTTACCCGTCCAAATAAAGGTTGAATGAATGGATTTTGTTGAATGTTCTTTTACTATTTGTTTTACCTGTATTTTTACACACACAATTTATTCATACTGTATATCTACAAAGTTAATCTGAATCTGTAGACTAATCAGTGCTTTTAGATCACATTCATACACTGATGGGACACATATCGGAGGCAATGAGGGGTTCAGTGTCTTGCCCAGAGACACTTCAACATGTGACTGCTGGTGGAATCGAACCCCCAACTAAAAACGTAAATGAACTTTACTTACTGACTTACAAGCACATTTTGAAGGAATGCCCATTGCCCATCTTCCATTACATTTCATTTGAACTAAATCATATGATGATAAATGACTCAAGTTAAAGCCACTTTGGTCAAACCTTGTGAAAGTAAAGTGAACTGACGACATCACCATTGCATGCATTGCACACACACACACAACTAAAGTTGTCCTCTGCATTGAACCCATCACACACGTGACACACACAAGCAGAGCAGAAGGCAGCAATTTAAGTGCCAGGGAGCAGTTACAGATTAAGTGTCTTGCTCAAGGACACCGCAACATGTGGGCATGGTGGGGAGTCAAACCTGTGACTTTCTTGTCTCAAGACAACTATCCTACTACTGCGCCACAGTCAAACTTGTACATTGTGCTGTGCTCAATCTCATGTAATTTGCCAGATGTGTAGACATTGTGTTGTGTATGAGGATGATTGTTAGGTACCATGTCGTACCATGTCAAACTTTAGCTTAATGTCTAAGTCTGACTGAATTTTGTGTTGGCTTAGGTTGATTAGCTGTGGCAGCCATCTTGATTTGGGTTGAATCTCAAAGGTAAACAGTTGTAGATGTGCATCTAGTCCTTACTAACAAGTGTATTAAAATATGTCCAGTGGTTCATGAAATATTTTGCTAACAGGTACACACCAATTAAGACACTTGCAAATACATAATCTTCCCTTTGCCTTAAGCAAAAATCAACAGTGCAAGTAAAAACAAAGCAAATGTAACTTTTTTAACTCAGTTCAAACAAATAGTGTTAAATACAGATACAAGTGCATAATAAAACCCTGAAACAAAGTACTGTGTAAGTAATGGGATTATGAATACTGGGGTGCATTGTGGTTGCAGAGCAGATTACAGAACAATGGGCGAAACCATTTCCGCTTCAGTAGCAACACACAACAGGTGACTACACATAATTAGTGCTAATTGATCGTTAAAGAAAGCATGCTAAGCATTTCTATTAGCTTACAGATGCTAACAGATGTACACAATAAAACTGAATGCAAAAAAACCGCTGAATTATCTTTTTAACACCGTCATAACTACAAATGGTTTGACCGTTAGGTTTGTTTGAATTTAACTTTTTTTTTCTAGTTTCCTGCAGCAACAGTAAATTGTATTAGAAATGTCACTATCCTGCTCTGGGCTTCTTTGTTTGGACAATGACTGAACACGACTCCACCACCGGAGAATAACGGTTATTGTGTAGGTTAATTTTCACTAAACGAACATTTACATAAAAAATGGCGACGTAAACAGAAATAAGAGCCCGTACGCGGAGCGGCGAACCCCCGGCAGGTCGCTGACCGTCCGACCTACACCCCCCTCCTCCTCAACCGGAGGAAAACATGACAACAATACCTCATTGGGTCACCTCCGCCTTTACAAATGACGGTTGGGACAAAATAGCTGGATTGTAGGAGCAACGCTGCTTTCCCTGCTCCGCTCCTAGTTGAATGGGATTGAAATGCGTTTCCTGAAACACTACAGGGCTCGCGCCTTCCTTAGGAAAAATACCAAACGGCTCCTTTTCCTCGCAGCACGTACGCCATTTTGGTTTCCCGCTGATGACCGGGGGAGTGCATTATGGGAACCTCTGCTGCGGCTGCTTTCATCAGCTTCAAACGTTTGAATTGGAGGCTGGGCGTTTTCTAAACGCAGAATATCCGCCTCTTAAAAGTGGGATAAGACTTGTTCTTTTTCACATCGGTCGAATACTTTTATTTTTTTGTTGTCTTAGAACCTAACCTGGCTCTTATGAGAAATAAACGCAGATCAGTACTAATTTTAAAGGTGAAACCTCACACAGAGTTCTAAATTTTCCCCAGAACAGTCTTTGAAAAACTAGCAGCTACACGTTGACAGGTCACTTTATATATGACCGGTGTTGTGCCGAAATCTGTTTCCCAACAAGTTTGGTTCCGTTTTTCGAATGATATGTACAGTAAACGTTTGAACTGTGTTGTTTTAAGCAACGGCGTTTTAAAAAAAAATTATAAAGAATATTTAAAAAAAAGATTAAAAAAATATATATATAAAATATTTGGATTATTTTTCTCCATTTTTTTCCACACACATCCGGTCGCAAAAAAGATTGTTTTCTCCGTGTTTAATAAGAAAATAAATTCGCACATTTGTCAAATACATACAAGTGACGATCGTTACCTCATGACGCACATGAGTGTTTTTACACCAAAAGTGCAGGAGGTGAAACATATCACCGGGAAACGCAGCGCGATACGACACCAAGACCGGAAGTTTGGTTTAAAGTCCCTGTAACAATAACAGCGGGACTTATATTTTGAAAGATTTAGTGGAAATCAACTCGTGCCTGTGAACTTGCCTGGATATGTCTTACTCATGAAATCATAACAGCACTGACGCCCGAACTCTTGTATGAATCCACTACATTTTAAAACGTAATTTATACAACTTCGAACCACCTGAAAAGAGGAGGGGTGTGGGGTGGGGGGAGACTGATAGACATCGAGCTGCGCCTGCGCACTGAGCATATGTTATTCCAGCTCGAGGAGGTACGTACGTTCCTTTTCTTGAAAATCTGCTGCTGCTGCTGCGAACAGGCGAACAGCGAAAGTACAACATGGAGTTGATTTAAAAACAACATAAGAAGCAGACCGTCCCGGGCACCCCGGTCTTAAAGAGCGGACAATGTCTGTCTGTTCGTGTCGCTTGATGTAGGATTCCCGTGTGCTTTTAAACATATCAGCGTATTGAGATGATCTATTTTTGCGATGGCGAAGGGTCTGCTTCCACGAGCCTGGGTGAAAAAGTCATTCTTCTTTCAGGTAAGAGTTATTTTGATACAACTGCTTTGAGAAACAGGCTGCAGTTTATTTATAAAAGGCGGTCGTGTTTCTTTGGCTGTCACTCAAACTGACAGCTGGCAGTGAACGTGCTCGCGGCTCCAGAGGAGGTTTTTAAATTGATGATGAATGGAGAAATGATGTAAAAACGCAGGCCTGCCGCTGAGAGAGACTCTAACATTAGAGCATAAATAATGCAGATCCACACCTGGATGTGATCGTTTAGATTAGAAGGGGGAGCAGGGGCACCACCAGGGGTGCGCCAAGGGGGGCAGTAACCACCCCTATAAATCCACACACACCCCTCTCCCCTTGCTAAACAGTCCTAGGCCCCATTTACACAGCGGGGGGAAACTTAGTAGTTTTTTTTCTGATGTGGATTCGAGGGGAAAAAATCTGTTTTACATGCAACCGGAGAACCCCCGAATCCGCTGTAGCTGCCATGCCAGGCCATTAGTTGGCGCTGTGAATTTTGTACATTCACCTAATGCTCATGTGCGTTTCCTGGGACAGCTGTCTGTAAGCTACTTCCTCTGCGCTGAAAGACCAATTACAACAAAACTTAAAGCTGGATTTCGGATACGAGTCGACGGATTTTACGCCAATCGGATCGCTTTATCTAACAGCTCGACACTGCCGGTTGCTGAGCGAACAAGCAATGATGCGAATGATGTCTGGCTTTCTACTCCAGTGGTATTCAGTAGCCGTCGAGCAATGCTACAGCAGGTAAATCAGCGTTCTCAATAATGTTTGCTTGTGTTGACTTCGGTTATACAACAACCAACTAAGTATTTCTTTTTATTTTTCCTGAGAGGAGAAGCTGTCCTCCCACCAGAGGGACTGGTTCCTATAGAGAGTACTGACTCGGTGATACAGAAGGACCTCGAAGAGGGAGATGTTGGAGCAACCATTCACTTAAAATTCACCTCAGTTCTTTTTTCCAATCCATTCAGTGTTTTAAGCTCACCGGAGGGAACTACTGATTATTCCATCCTTATCAGAACTCTTACAGTGCCTCAGGAGCATCCTTGAATACTCTCACCGCTCTCGTCGTCCCCCCCCCCCCTGTGGAATGTTCTATGTCACCATGTGCTTGTCTGTGCGGGGTGTTTTTTCATTATCAGGATCTTTCTTCTCAGACAAGAAGAAAGAGTTTGATAGGATTTTTTTTTTTTTGCTTACAATTTCCTACTTGTGTTCAGTTTCACTACTTTTTTGTTTGTCTAAACGAGTCTCCAAGGCTCAATGTGATGTACTGTCTAAATAAAGGTTGAATGAATTAATGGAAAAAAAAGCTACATTTAGCAAAGGAGTGACAAACCAGATAAACAACATGGGGCCAGTATCCAGGATGACAACAGAGGGGAAGGGTCCAGTTCATTAATGTAGTTTATGGTTCGGTTAATGTGTTTTCTTATCAGTGTTTGTATGACATACAGTTTGTGGTGTTGAATAAAAATTAAACCTGATGTCTTCATTTTCATATTTAATAACATGCACAAGTTTTCTTATCATTGTTTAAATCGCATAACTTGAATTACATAATGTCCAGATAGCTTCATTTAGCTCAGATAACTTCATTACATTTCCCACCACTAACATAAAGACTGTTTAGTATTGTTATTTAGCACATTTAGTATATTATACTGCAGCGTCATGCATGAAATATACGCCTGCCTCGAAAGGCTCGATAAATACATAGCGATTTTGGACTGGATCCGACCAGTGTCTCTTCCCAACACGGATGTTGGTCACAGCAGCACCTAGATTCTAGAGTAGATTAACTACGAGACCCCAAATATATTCTATCGGTCGTAGCACAGAAAGCAGTACGTTATATTCCGGCGCCATCGTTGTTGATAGAAATATGTCGTTGGACTGCGCATGCATGAAATACCTGTAGAACGTAGTGCGCATGTGCTTTCACATCACACCTCAGCGGGCGCTCGCCTCAAAAACCTCCACTCTGAGAGGTGGGTTGAAAAACCTCCGGATTCATCGAGGGGGATGACTGGTGTTGTGTAAATGAACAACTGAACCGCAAAAAGAAAAGTGCGGTTTCACTCAAAATATGCATCATGTAAACGGCCCCTTAGACCATGTTTACACTGCAGGTCTTAATGCTCAATACAGAATTTTTGCTCCGAAACAATTATTATTTTTTTTGCGTGGTCAGTCACATTCAAATTTAAACATTACCTCCTTAAGACCAGCGTGAATATGGTCCTGAAGCAACCCGCAGGTGCAGAAGAAGTGATGTCATGCACAGTACACTGTGTTTACACATGAGCATGCATCAGGACACAGTACACTGTGTTTACATAACAGGAACACAAGAGCCAGTGTTGAGGGGGACCTCTGTGTTAGCATGTGTGCATCAATTCTGAAGTTGTTGTGCAATCTGTGCTGATTAAAATATTACCTGGCATGCTTGTTTTGTTCAATTTGACCCTGCTACTTCCTGCTTACTCAGGAGCAGAAGTTCACTTTTGGAATGGGAACAACATACTGAAGATAAAAACAAACTCTGGTCTTAAGCACTTTATGATAGTATTGATATGATCTGACACTGGGGTTAGTATTGTAAGCTGCTGTAAATTCTCAAGTCATCCAGGACATGATAAAAAAGTAACTGGACTTCCATTCTGTAATTGGTCCAAGTTGTAAACTGAATGCAATTGGTATAGATATTATCAATACATAGATTGATCTGCATACTCCTTCTTCAATGACATTAAAGGTGGATGAAATGCCACAACTGTTCAAACTGAGGTTACTTTGAAAAATATTGGATATGTAATCCTACCACATATGAAAAGGACCGGAGTCAAATTTGAAAGAAATATGATTTTGTTACATTCAGACTGTCATTTTATATATATATTTATACTTTTTTATGACTTTATTGTTGTGGGTACCTCATCTGTGGTTTTTGTTTAAAAAAAACCAACTCTCTTTGAAAAAATGACAAAAGTTCTTAGCTGTCCCTCCATGAAGATGTTCTGATCTGAAAATGTTTCTTACATTATCTAATGTAACTGGAGAGGTCTGTCCTGCTTTGTTTAATGTCCGCTCCACTCCACTTACTCTTTCTCCTGCTAAAAAGGACATAAGAGCAATCTCAACACTCCTGGTCAGGAGACTAAAGTGGCTAAACTGGAACTTTCCATCTCCTCCCCACAAACAGTTGTGGATTTATTACAATCTGGATTAAAGGGGTCCTTTATTTTCCTAAACTGGAAAAAAGAATTAGGCGGACTTTGCATGCATTTTCTGAAGAAATGAAAGTGGCTTGAATAACAGCTAAACTTTCAATGTTGACATATTAGAGGAAGAAGAAAAGACACAAGGAGCGGAACGGTGGACAATCAAAATAGAAAGACGGAAGGAGCACACAGAGATCTAAAAACATGAACAGGAAATGCAGGAACTCTATAAAAGAATCCATATAAAGATAAAATGGACTGAAGAAGCACAAAGATGGAAGAAACATGGGAACAAAAAAGGAAACGGGGAGACATAACCTTTTAAAAAAGATACACAAACTACACAAATAATTCATGAGGAAAAATAGGACATGCATTTAGGTGAGAAAACTGATGGATAAGGATGCATAAGGAGACGAAGGATGTATAACAACTCAAAGGACACACTGACGCAAAGACCACAACATCACATAGAGACAAAAGCAAAAAGGAAGGATAGAAAGACATAAAAGACACAAAGGACACACTTGGAGTCAAATAATTCATAACGAGACTAAAAGTACATTAATCATGGCATAAGATAAGACTTAAAGGAAGCATAGGGAGACGGAAAGACAAAAAGGGTACACAAGGAAACATAAAAAGACGAGTTAAAAAAGAGAGAGTCACATGATGAAACAAAATGGAGCAAGTATGCTGATATCATCGTCTTCGTTGTATGTGCCCAAGTATGCTGTGTTTGTGTACATACAGCCTTGACACACACATACTGTATATGCCTGTCTTTGCTCACGTCAGATTAAAAACAAACAAACTCATGAATCAAGATTTCTGGTGTTTTTTTATTTATTTTTTTATTCTTACCAAGTCAATGTCTCAGACTTTAAACACTCCTTGTTCAAAAATTGCCAAAACTTTTCCACATAGATATAAGTTGTTCTGTTACACTCTGCTGTGTCAGGGCAGCAGTGATCCTGTTTGTGGCTTTAAAAACGTCACATTTTGATACTTGTTTGTCTGCAGACCTCAACCCCTCTTTAAATGGTGTTTGCTAATTCAAAGTTTGCCAGAGAAAGAAAACTGTATCTGCACCATACATTTATACTGTTTTATAATTATATGTTTTAATGTAATTTATTCTTAGATTTTTTTTTTTGTTTGTTTTGACAGAGACAGTCATGACGGTGTGTTTGTGTAAGACAAACAAGGCAGAGTCCATAAAGTCAGCTGGAAGTTCACAAGGTTATCTGAATAACTTTGCAAGTTTTTGCATTTAATTTGAAACCGTTCTCAGATTTAGTAACTCACTGCTGATCCAGCTAGATTCATAAGATTTAAGCAAGGTTTATGTATATCAAAGTATTATGGTTCAAATAATAATAGATATTAGTTTTAATATTTAAATATGTTTTTTTCCCCTGAGTTAAGTGCCATGACTTTGTGTCCTGAAGAGTTTTGTGGACTTTAGGGACATCTTGTATGAGTGTGCAGCTTTCCTACTGAAAACTGACTTGCAGACAAAATTCAAAGACTCTGGATGCACAAAAACATCCAGAGCACGGTGGCACCGTTGGTAGATCTGCTGCCTCTCAGCAAGAAAGTAGCTGAATCAAATTCAGACCAGGATACCTTTCTGTGTGGAATTTGCGTGTTTGTGGGCTCTCTGGGAAACCCGGTTTCCTCCCACAGACCAAAAACATGCATGTTAGACTAATTGGTAACTAATCCCCAGGTGTAATGGTTGTTTGTGTTGTCTCTATGTGTCCCTGTGATGGA